AAAGGTTTTTACAGGCAATATATTCCATTCTTTTATCGTTCGATTGGTGAAAAAAATACCCCTACATCTGTTCTCCGCGGCCTTATATTTATTTTATGTCTGTGATGTCTTTATATCTTTATAGACTTAATTAGACTTTGTACTCTTGATTTGGCTCATATTCAAGTGCATTAAGATTTGTGAAAAAACTTCGTAAATAAATTTTATCGTATGTATGACCTGCAAGTAATTTGACCGATAGTACAAGAAAGTAAGAGATGCGAATTTTGAGAAATGAGGCCAATGTCACCACATCAGCACCTAGATTTGAAGAGATCTCAAGTCAGCAGGAATAGAGATTCTCTGGAAAGCCAACTTAATTAGCATGAGAGGTGTCATAAATTTAAAATTCTACACGTTCTTTAGGTCCCTCAAATATCGTTTTCTGTGAAATGATTTACTTACGAGTTTGTAGTTCATGTCGAATTTAGGTAAAGGCGACCAGTGTTGAGAGCAGTCTGTAGTCTCCGTGATCAAGATAGAAAGACCTTCCAAATAAAAATACATTTATGGGGTTTATGCCTCGACACGAAAAAAGGGAACATGAATTTAATGTTTTAAAGAAGAAGTCGGAGGCCCGTTCAATATGATTTCGCTTTCAGTGACTTCTTACAAAATAGACATTGTGGGCGCTAAGATAAGAAATTAATCCCATTCAATCTAATCAATTACCAATCAGTACCATTGACATTCTCTCATTTATGACATTTTGCCTATATTTTATTTTCCAAATGTCGTGTATTACACAATAGAGAACAATACTTTTTCATAATATTTTAGTTAAATTGCAAGAAGATAAATCCCCGAGAATGAGCTTTTTTTGTTTCCCTTACTCTGCCACTTGTGAAAAACAAACACAAGCCGACTTTCAAGTGGGAGTCACGACTCTCTCTCCCTTTCCTTCCACCCCCCTCTCTCTATCCCACTGCGTATATTACAAACGTTTTAATATATTACGGAGAAGCAGCCCTTCAAAATGATCATTGTGTCTTCAATGAATATTGTCAAAAAATTGTAGCCATTCATCCCATGAGTAGGCTGAAAATGTAATCGGTTTTTCAAACAACTAAACATTTTTGGTAATTGATAATAATATTTAATAAAGATTTCATAAAACTCCAATGTTTGAAAGCAGTTGTAAAGAAAATTCACTGAAATCGCTTCTTGAATTACTGTTATTGAAGAAAATTGGATCCAACTAAAGTTCGAAAATGAATTCTGTTGATCTGCCGACTGTCAAACTTTCGCGTGTTTATACGAGGACGGAGTTCCGAGTGACTTGGAATGAAACGAAAGAGCAAATTCAACCACAAAAGTTTTTTCCAAAAAAGACAAATACTACGTTGTCTTTGTTGTATATTTTAATTTATAAATGTTTTTAATTACATTTATTAACAAGTAGATGCTAAATAGTGTCTATATGCAATTCGATCGAAAAGTTTTGATTCTTGTCCTAAGCCACTTACACAATCTCGATGAAACATCACTATATCAAAGTTATTTCCTAATGAACAAATCTGTTATGCGATATTATATTCAGGCATATTTATAGCACCAATTAAAATATTTAATTCATACTTTGAAATATTTGGGAACTAAATTGTCACCAGCCTTTTAGAACGTGTGTGAGAACCAACTATTTTTACTCACGAAAATGTACTCCGTAAATACGGACAATAAAGGTCGTAATCTGAAAAAATAAGGTTATGTGTTTCACTTTAATGTGCTTCTCTGAATGATTAAAATAGATTAATAACAACGGTCTAACGCGTAGAACATTCATGCATTTTTCATAATTTCTTTAAAAAAACATACTTATCTTCAAGCAAATCCCTTTTTCCCTGCGATGAACTCTTCCCGTTCACAAACAGTGTTGATAATCTTAGGCTAATAAATCTTCGCCCTGTTAGAACAGATTATAGCCTTTTTCGTGAACCTCAGAAGAGGGTAGATTGCTCAGTGCCATCCAGCGCCGAACTAATCTCATCGGATCGCAGGAAAGGTTACGTGTTTATCTCGGCACGCCACCGGATTCCCGCCAAAGCTACAATATCGACTGGACTTGGCCGACCTTGACGAGTACCGCACGAAAATAAAGTCGACCACTCGATCCCACCACATTACCTGGACTAGAGAAGGAATTATCAGCTGATTTCTACTACAGCTGATTGTACAAACGCAAGTTATATTGGGAAGATACCACGTCTTCAGTTGATGTCTTCATCCAAACACTGGTCACGATTGCTCAGTAGCAACACCGTTACATTTGCTGAATCTTTGTAGACCAAGAGTTTCTAAGATTCGTTTTCCGACGATGCATGATTTTCGAAACTAGTTTCGTGGCTGGGTCGCATTCAGTGACACTCTGTAGAAGAAATCTTGCAGACTACTTCTTCTATCGGTACTTATCCTATCTCCTATCGGATGAGGATCCTTAAATCAGAACCAGGCCAATGCCGGAGAAGTAACATAACAATCAGGCTAAAGAATGTACGCGATCCTTCCATCTTTCTCTTCTCCCCTTATACGAACACGTATAACACATCGGACCCGCCTACATGCTTTGGGGGTCAACTGATGTCATAGCTCTGTCCGGAAGATCGTTGGTTCTGCGTCCTGACTGTGGCCGGGATTTCGACTATAGCTAGGTAGGATTCAGCCGCTGCAGGAAGGAGATTTCAAGTGGCCGGCTGCTCTGATTGGTAGTGTTCCGTGTTTTCTTCGATCAAAAAGAGGCGAATGCCGAAGCATTACTCTAACAAACGGGTTATAACCGCACGCGAGCTTTCCTTCTTCTTCCTTGTACTATCCTCACACACTAACAATTGCAATTATACCTGCATGTACTACATCACCACTTGTGTCTGGAGTTTAGAGCTTGTCCCGGCTAAGACGGTATCCTTCTGGACGGTACATCTGGTGGGGAAAAACAGGCCGTGGGCTCCAGAACGTATGATCCAGCACCGAAACACCGGCACCTCGCAATATAGCACGCACTACACTAACGGAACTAATGACAAGTATTTGACGTGCCTGGAAACAATAAATGCTCACTCCCTTCATCCAAATCATAATCCAAAACATGAGCTGAAAGCATCTTATTAATTATATTTAATTATAAAACGAATTATGTAATAAATATATCTGTGGCTTGATGCAAGAAGGGTCAATGCCAGTTTATAGTGATTTTCGGTTTGTATGACCAATGAGTGCTTCTCTTCTTTCAATGCAAGAAGGCCTAAGTCAAAAGTCGATCCCATCTTCTAATTTTATATTGATTTATATTGACCTATTGTTTGTCATTTCGATGGTGTAAGAGAAACACCACATCTGTAAAACATTGAATATTGACATTGTTCCTTCTTGGACCAAGACACGGATATAATTATAATAACATCAAAACATTTGAGGAAGTTGAGTTATTTTGACATTACAAATCGAAGGGAGAAACATAATCGGTTATTTATCTCCGTGAAAAATGAAACAAATTTATTTACTGAAGGAAGTTTTGTAAGTGATAGAATTCCTATATTGTAAAGACAAGGTGATATTAAGTTATATTATTTTAATCTATACTATAAAGCATATTGCACCCTCTGATATATTTAACAGACAACAGTTTGCTAAAAACATTTACAAGTACCATCATAACAGATTTATGGTGTAATATAATTTTTACTCATATCTTTTAATGTATAGTTTTAATGGCGCCTGAGGATCATTTAACCTACGAACAGTACAAATTATAAGCTAGTTGATTCTGAGTCGTTCAACTTTTCAGAACTGCAAACTAATAAAACAATAAATAAATTTAAAAATCATTTTTTTCCGATAATACATTTGAAATAAATCAAGGAATAGAAAAAAGAGTTTTGCCCGAACTAAAGAATAAAAGAATAAATAAAAAATACGAGCGTATACATACTAAGCTATGACCAAAATCTCAGTGCAGTATCTTGATATGGGAGTATCTCATTCAAATTTGACGGTCTGCATTGGCGGCTACGAGCGCATCCTAACACCCTATTTAACTCCTGCCCATTTCGAGATATCGACTGCCGCGCTGCCGGGCGACCTTGGAATCCATGGGCAGGTGCCGGACACGCCAACACGTGGGACTGCGGGCAATCGAACCCGAGGCATTGACATCCAGGCGAGAAAGAGGCTATTCCGCTAACGACTCATCAATTCATTAGGTCAATCGACGTTATATTTAAAAACTTGACACTCATTACTCGTACGAATATATGCATTATTGTTAATAATCTAATAAGTACGGTATTAAGAGTTAAATCATATCATTGTCAAGTTTTTTTGTATATCACGCATTGCATGTAAGGATACCATAACTATAAAATGGTCAGGTTTTTTTTGTAACTCACCTCTATTTTCATTTCCAGGGGCGTTTTACATCTAATCAGTCTGGTATTTAATATAGAATTCTCATTGAACTATCCTCTGCCAGTATTAGGTAAATCTAGCATGATTTGACCAAGTCTTCTAACGAAGACAAAACTCTATCTTGGCCTTCTTACCTTTTATTTGCCGTTTGGTGCATAACAATAGGTCCCATTGGGTAATCTCTCATTGTCCTTCCTTGGCAGATGATCCCAATGTTTTTCTATTTTTCTACGTTGATTATTGAACATTTCTTTATTTCTTCGTTCATAATTTTATTCATTAATATACACCCCTTGACACACCTCAAAAAGGCAGTAATGCCGTAGCGCTCTCAGATCAGAAGATCGCGGGTACGAGCCCCGTCTCGGGCATGGTTGTGTTGTGTGTCTGTGTGTTTGTGTAAGTCTATTTCATCACCATTTATCATCATAATTTCATCCCATTCCCTACAGCTAAACGCCCTGGGGTATAAAAATAAAATCAGTATTAAAATGCTAGTTCCCCCTTATAGAAAAAATAATGTTCACCTACCCCGGTAATCAATTCTGAACCCCGGTGCGATGCATATATCGCGGCCCCATTATGGCCGATTCGCGAAACAAAAAACAAAACAACTAAATAATAATAATAATAATAATAATAATAATAATAATAATAATAATAATATAAAATCAAAATTTAGCAGGAGCACAGCTTTGCAATCATCTTCTTATAAGTACGAACCGTCACCTGTAGTTAATAACAGCGATTTCAAATTCTCTTGGGTTAGAGAAATAAGGACTGACGTCACCATACCAGCCAATAGACCTGACATCACTTTGCTAGAATAAAAGAAAGTAGCAATCCATCTGGTTGACATAGCCATTCCACTCTCCCACATTATGGACAATAGTTATAGCAATAAGATTAGCAAATACCAGGATATTTCAGATGATGTAAAGAAAGCGTGGAAAGTCAAGAAAGTTTATGTCAGACTCATCATCATTCTGACCATAGAATTAATTTCTAAAAGCACGAAGAAACACTTAGAAATCCATTAGAAAGCTACTTATCAGAAATTCAGAGGTCTGTGATACTGGACACTTGCCACATTGTGAAAAAGTTCTTGGGGGACGAGGTCCACTGAATTCAACTCGATTACCGTTTAACCAATCATGCAGGACGAACGAGTGCCGTATGTATATGTATAGGGGAATGGCGATAACGCCACGATAATGGATGGTTTATGTGCATGTCTTATTTCTATTATTTATTTAAATTTAATTTTTCGTGTATTCTTATATGTAAATTTGATTTCATTTGTGTTCTGATGAAGTAAAACAATGTGTCAACTGTTTGTAATGCGTCATGAATCTGAATTCCGATGCAATGTGTAATATCCACCATTCTTGAGAAACTTAATAAATAATAATAATAATTTAATAATAAATATAAATATAGTTGTGAAGGTAACTAAAGATCAGCGCTGAGTTGCAGAAATATGTCAAAATAAGGGAGTGTGCGAAATTCCCATTTATTTGCAACAAATGCAGTGATTGGTTTTTTCTCAAGAAGTGCGTATAACTTCAATTTTTAGAACATAAAAATATTATTCAATAAATCTGAAGAGTAACAGTATTCAGTTTAACGAAGTAATGTTGAAACTAATTAAAAAATTAAGTAAATGTGTAGTGACCAGATATCGAAGTTGAATTATGTAACCACATTGCTGGAATGCAATTATACAAGATTATGAAGTATCCAGAGCTTTATATAGCATTGCGATAATGAAACTGATACCACAAATAAAAGTACACTCCAGTCAGTGGCAAATGTGATTCATGAGATCCATTTTAAGTCACAAGAAAACTCAGATTTAAAAATGAAATTATACGATTACTCTCTAAATGAACTCATGGCATTGTGATACACAAAGAAATTGCTGTATTACGTAGAACTAATTATTAACATCACACATCCAAAGTGAGTCGTACATTATACGCAAACCACCATTTATGGCTCAATTCAATCAGTGCATGGTCTCGATGCTGAATGTACACATGACAAGAACGCTGTTGCTGAGTGATTTGCTGTTTGTCACAATATCTGAAAAATCTCTCTTCTTTGGGCGCCAACTATAATATGCCACCTATAATATGGTGACGTTTTGGAGAAACGTCTTAAAAGTTTTAAAATTGTCTACATTTCACGCAAAACGCGAAAATTACTCATATTTCCGAAAAGGTACGAGAAAGTAAAACGCTAACCATCTGAGTTTGACAGAGGTTGTTTTCATACCGTCGTATATGAAACGACTCTTGTTAGATGTCATATTGCGGTACCTTTAAGGAATGGTAGCACAACAATACGGGAACAACGTCTCATCATTGCATCGACACCGTATAGAGATGCTAGACTGTAGCGGAGGTTTTCACGCATTGTTCGGGGTGACCGCAAGGCAACAGCTCAGGAAATTGCACAGAGATATAATAGTGGTACGTAGTATATTAATTAACAGAACACTGATTCTCGGACTCTGTACAATTTAGACCGCAGAGTCTAAGAAGCACTCGCATGTCCAAGAGGCCATAATGTAATTGCTAACCAGTATACATCATGGTTGATTCTCACTAAGGCCGCTACGAGTGCGCCAACGATTGAAAGATCGTTAGTCCGATTCCAGCAAGATGTAAATTTGAGCATGTATTAAGAGGAATCCTTTTTTTTTTAATTTACTTTTAGTTACCTAGAACTCAAACTCGAGAAAATCAATCAAAATATTCACATATTTTAAGGTTAAAAATCGTTATTAATTAACTCTTCCCTATCCTTCTCCACCTTTCCCTACCCAGAAGGTTCACAAAAGAATTCGTTATTCACAATTTCACACATGCTGAGTGAAAATTTGTTTATGGAGGCGATTGGAAAATATAGGTTTACTAACAGTTTATATATTATATTACAATTTTTATAACAATTACTAATGTTAGTGTTAATAATTAACTGTGTGAATAATTATTACATTTTAAGGTAGGTCTTCATTGTCTTCTGACTTGTATTTATGTGGAATGTTTGAGGTTTCAACTTCAATGTAATTTACAGATACCTGAAGATGAATTAAAAATATAAATCCGAAAAGTTGTAAATGATGTGAAATAAGAAAACAATCTACAGGATAAAGAAATTTGGAAAGTATTCAAACACAATGACAATTTTTTTGTCATTGTGTTTTAACTTTCCGCGTGCCTGACGTACCCCTTCCGCGAACGTAAATGAGATCTTGGAACGGATACGGGAACGGAAGACGTAAACCTCAAAGTGTGTGGCTGACCAGAAAAGAAAGTACAAACATTCGTGAAGAGAAATACTTGTAAATTTTGACAAAGTAAACCAATGAGCTACGCTAGAGCCCAAACAACGCAAACCGATTGGGTCTCGCTCGGATATCAGGTTCATAGAGTTCGAGTCCCGATGGTATAGAAATTTTTATAGATTTACTTCACTGCATTACTTCATACTCCACTAGATGTACAGCTAAGTTGAATCCAGCCGCTGTCAGGATTCTGGCGGCTGGCTTCTCTCATCGGTACTTTTCCGTCATTTCTCCGATCGATTGCGTATGCCGAGCGTATGCCAGAGCAATACCCAAATAAACGGGCCATACACCGCCTTTACGATCTTTATTCATCTTCCTTACTATACTCTCCCCGACACACACTTACCCTTACGTGCACTACATTACCACACAAGTCAGAAGATCAGTTGGGAGCTTAGAGCTTGTCCCGGTTGGGGCGGTGCCTCGCTGACGGACATACCTGGAAAAGAAAGATGACGCAGGCCGACGTGCAGGTTGGCGCCGGATATTGCCATCTGGGGGGGGGGACACTGACACCTCCCGAGATAAAAAAAAAATATTACCCTATCAGGACTAATGACCAAAGCAGTTAACGTGCTTGGAAATATCAGTCAGTGAATCGAAGAGCGGGGTTTGGCGACGTGTGCGCTCAAGGCGCGTTGCCCGTGCGCCAGGTGCGCGTGCAGGACGAGCTGGCGCTGCGCCACGTGGAGCGGCTGGAGGGGACGGCGGCGTGCCGGCGCCACGCGGCGCTCGCAGCCTGCGACGCCGACTCCAGCGAGGAGGAGCGCGTGTGCCGGCGGCGGCGGCGCCGGCGGCGGCGCCTGCACTGCAGCTTGCACCGCGACGCCTGCGAGCACGTGTGCGGCGGGCGGCGGCGGCGCGGCCACAGGTGGGTTCTTGCTTAAAATTGCCCTTGCTTTTTTCAGTAGCTTCATCATTTTTTATTTGTTTCATTGATTTTTTTATTTTTATTTAATTTTTATTTATTTTTTATTAATTTTTATATTTATTTTATTTATTTTATTTATTTTATTTATTTTATTTATTTTATTTATTTTATTTAATTTATTTTATTTATTTTATTTATTTCATTTAATGTAGATGCAGGGATTTCTGTAATCTACATCTAAGAGAATAAAAATTACTTTTACTGCTTTGAAGGACAAAAATGTCAGTTTCTGCTCTGGATTCTTGGGAATTGGAAGAAAATTTTATAGAGGTTGGTGTCTCTGCGCCAGAATAACATGTCATTTGTAAAAGTAGTTACAGTTTGTTTGCAATTTAATGCAATATGAATTAAAGTATAGACTCTTATTAATCAGAATAATTCATTTTATCAAATATTTGATTTTTTGAATCCACCACAAAATCATGATCCGTGATTAAAGAACACATTCTCACCAAAGGAAAATACTATGTGGAATATTGCAAACAGTGGAGTCTTGGCAGCAAGGCGGGTAGACGTGCTTGCTTATCGCAGAGTGCGAAGATAAGGCCCGGGGCAACCGGGTCGAAGGTGCGAACCTTAAAACTTCTTTGTTCGGATTTGTAGTTAAAGTGAAATTAAAATTACTACTGAGGTGAACCACGTGTTAAACGGCGATGTCCCCCTAGGGGGACATATCACCATGTCAGTGGAAATATTAAACAATGAAAATACAGAAGAAATATAGACTCAAACAGTGCTCTCGCAACTATGGAGGACGAATTCGCAAAAAATCATCAACAATAGCATCAACTACAACAACATGAAGTAACGCAAAATCAGTTTCAGGAGCAAATATAGCAACACCAAATGCTGCTTTATCAACTTCACGAACGCGAACTACAAAATTCTGTGGAACCACTGAACCAACAAATTCTGTCATTCTTCAACAACCGAGCGTCAAATATGCAAAAAGCTACTAAAGTTCAGCCAGAAAGTGCTACAAACTAAAGAAAACATGGGTTGTGTGCAGCAAAACATACTTCAATGCAGAAAACTATAATGTTCCCTTCCAAAACAGGTACGAAATTTTAGAAAATGTACCAGATCCAAACTTAGACTTACCCAAAATTCCCCCAACAAACAATTAAAAAAGCAGAAACTTTTCCAAATTTTACTTCATTAATAGCGAAAATTCAAAAGCTTGTTACAAATGACTTTACTTCTATAGGTGTTGTGGTGTGTTATCGTTGGCATTTTTCATGAAATAATTATAGACGTCATTGCCAACAATATTATTTAATGTAAGAGCAGCTTTCGATGGCTTAGCCATCATCATCAGTTGTCTGCTGGATGGAAGCCACAAAACGACTACCCGGTAGTCGATTTGAGTCGTAACTGATGATGATGGCTTAGCCATCGAAAGCTGCTCTTACATTAAATAATATTGTTGCCAATGACGTCTATAATTATTTCATGACTTTACTTCATTAGAAAAAGTAAATCATATTGCAATATTAATCACAACAATAGATGACTTTAGAAAATTCCGTAAATACTGACACGAGAAAGAAATTCAATACTTTACTTATCGCGAACCAATGAAGAAAACAATTTCAGCTACAATCTATGACATCCTTACAGCTTATTAAAACAAAAACATAAGATTTGAATTAGAAAAAACCTATCCAATAATCATAGTTTACAGACTATTCGAGAAAAAAGAGAACAATTCGAAATATGTGCAATAGAATTGTTAGATAATGACTATGGATGTGAAATAGTGCACCTGAATCGACTATTCAATAGTGCTATCAAAGTGAAATTGAAAACACAAATCCAACATACCTGTTCAATGTAAAAACTGACAAAACATTAACCACATGCAAGCAAATTGTAAATTAGAATCACGCTGTCTGATATTTAGATAAACATCATTACTTAATATGTCCAAAGCGTAAAAGTTTTCCAGCAAAGTGTGTTAACTGCTTTCAAAATCATACTGCTAATCACAGAGGATGCAAAATATTCAAAACAAGAATGGCCAACAAAAATTAATTTCTATATTCACAAACCATTCTTAAAACATACCAAAGACCAAATCAACGTATTAACCATCCAATTCTGATTGCTCAGACCAAAACACAAGTTACTATCCCAATATTGGTAATATTAGAGACTTCCTAGAACTTCCAACAGTTTCCACAGAATCACGTAAAACCTTACGAATAATTACGCTCAAGTAACACAAACTTAAATACCTTAATCCCATTAATAAAAACCCAAATAATTAATGCATTATTGCCACAAATACAACAAATTCTGCCAACAATAATAAACCAAGGGCCCTAGGCACGGATATAGAAACCTAAACTGGAATGTCAACGGAATTCAAAGGCAATTCTACGAGTTCATATACTTTCTCCTCTACCGAAAAATAGATATTGCCTGTCTAAACGAAACTCACCTCAATAATAATAATAATAATAATAATAATAATAATAATAATAATAATAATAATAATAATAATAATAATAATAAAATAAATATCCCAGATTTCATAATCTTCAAAAGAGACAAAAACACAAACCACACAGGTGGTGGAGTAGCTATCATAATGAAACGTAAAATAAAACATAACCCGCCTATCCGGTGGCCGAAATCGCCGAAAGGAGGTGGCCGAAAGGAGGTAGTGCCGAAGCGATCTCGGGCCGAAGGATCGCGGGTTCGAGTCTCGCTTCGGGCATGGTTGTATTGTATTTGTTCCCCTGCCATCGTCATATCGTGTCATCCTCCCAGTTACCATACCATTGCAAGCAATAGTGCTCGCTAATGACCTAGACGTTGATGCGACCTTAAATTTAAAAAAATAAAAAACACAACCCTGAAATACTGTCACAAAATAATAATCTAAAATTGTTGCAATATCCATTTCTCTTTCAGTAGACAGCATCATATGATTACAAATGGCTAAATAAAAAAAGTCAATAGATACTAATGTATATAATAATAATAATAATAATAATAATAATAATAATAATAATAATAATAATAAATACTATTAGGAGAGCTTAATGCAAAAAATCAAGCATGGGACTGTCATTCCACCACCCTACAATAACATATAATATGAAATAAAATATTATCAGAAATTGCCGTAAAAATATTTTCATAATGCATGCACCCACATAACCCACTCATTATCCGTATTTTAAGAATTTTAAACCAGATATACTTGGCATAATATAAACGCATAACGTCAACTGTTCTACTTCCAACGCTTTCAAAAATCTTCGAAAAATTAATACTAAAAAGAATCAATACATTCATAAACGTAACAATATTATGCCCTCGCCTCTATTTGGTTAGCACAATAATCATTCAACGATATATCAACTATTAAGACTAACCGATATCATCGGTACTAATTTCTAAAAATCAAAACGTACATTAGCACTATTTCTGGTCATAAAAAACGTTCGATAAAGAATGGCAACAAGATTTATTACATAAAATACGGAATTCGGATTCCCACAATATTTACAAATAAAAAACCCTCCCAATAAATTGCAGTTTCAAGTGAACTTAGTACAGTTTTCTGATTATAATATCACGGCCAGTGTCCCTCAGGGATTGCCATTATCACCATCCTTTTTCAATATATTTATTTCAGATCTTCCACAATTAAATAATTCAAAAATGGCATTATTCGCAGATGACACCGTAATATTTACAGCGCATCAAAACTTATAAAAAAAGGCCAAAACAAACTTCATCAGATTTTAAACACAGTTACAGAATGGTTCCGGCAATGAAAAATTAAAATCAACCCAGTCAAATGTAAGGGAAAAGTAACTCCATTAAAAAAATATATACTATGAAACCATTAATTCTAAAAAACACATATATTCAATCGCTCTCTGCTACAACTTCAGTAAAATACTTAGGACTACACATTGGCAAAAGGCTTACTTGGAAAGATCATTTAAAAATTACAGCTAACAAAACATTTATAAAAATGTTAAAACTCTACCTACTAATTAATAAAAACTATATAATCAATATCGACATGTCCATATCCATTTTCAAACATATAATAAGACTACTGACCTACGCCTATCAAATTATTGGAGGTGCGGCAAATATCAATATAAATAAACTAAAAATAATTAAAAAAAAAAGCATTTACGCTGAACAGTAAACGCACCTTGATATATCCCCAACGAAGAAATTCAAAAAGAACTCTCATTAGGTCCAATATAACAATGGATAGACAGACTCTCCACACGATTCTATAGTAACCTACCATCCTGCCCTGCAACCCGAAAATTTAAATTGGGTTCCACTTCATACCCGTATCCAAGAATTTAAAAGTCTTTTTTCCTGACATTCATTTATTGTATTTGTCAAATGTATCGACTGTGCAGAAATATTTTAAAATGTGCCTGATTAAGAAGTGTCTTCATGATGTTAGGATTGAAGCCAGATGAAAACAGAAGTATTACTCAGTATTAAGATAAAGGGGTTATATGTAAAATTCTTATAAACATTTAAAAAATTGTAACTGATGGTAATTCTTAGTTGTGATGTAAACAACCCCCACTTGGGAAGAACCTCATATAGGAGACTGGTTTTCTAATTTGAGAATTGTGAGAATAAGCATGAGCTCTACATCAGAGAAAATCTTTTCAATCAAAATACAGCGTGGTTTTTCAAATCTTTTACAAATAGTTTTCTATAAACTTTCGAGGATATTCATCCCATTGAATTCATTTTGAAATTAAAGCAAAGTAATGTAACTCTCGTGTCACTTTATAACATTGATGAATATGTCATCTCAACGAAATTCGTCCAATGAATATGAAGAAAAGTCAATAGCTGTATTTCCCATTCTTCTATCGTACGTGTGGAAACTTTCATGGTGCAGTTCTATTGACTTTCAAAAACTAGAGAGCCGTGTGTGTTTCTGGGGAAGGGGGAATGTCGATATCCACCTACTCGATAGCACTGCGTCGCGTGGCGCGGGTAGTGGGCGCACGCCGCGGGGAAGCAACGGAACAATATGAACGGCGGTGAAACAGCTGTGAATAGCTGCCACGTGATGTGAAGGACACTGGAAATAAGGTATATATACCACTCATGAAAGAGTATAACTATTAAATAATTATTTTTATGCGATAAATTATGAAAAAAGACGTGTTTTTCTGTTTGTCTATTATATTAGTAATTTGTATATTATATTAGCTATTTGTATATTATATTAGTAAACATACCCCTAAAATGCTTGCCGATAGCGAACAGAACGTTTGTCCGTACAACATTTCATATAAAACATTATTATTGCCAAGCACTTACTTACTGATACAAGAAATCATAACGTTTTCAATTTTTTTTCTGTTATGAACTAGTGCTCGTGCTTTACAGCTATTACGTCTCTCCTAGGAACAAATTGTTGGGCGTAGTATATTGATGAAAACTACTACTGAGAAAAAAGCAGGGCAAAGCCCTTTAATACGTTTTCTTGCTATGTCACAATATGTATCGTAGTTCCTTTTTGTAGAAAATTTGTTTCTGTGATACAATTCATCTAAAAGTTTATATTATTTGCCATTTCAAAGAAAAAACTACTGATGACACAACCGCACATATTTTATCGCATTATTTCTAACTCCTTCTGTATTTGAAAATTCAAGCAACTGAATGAAAATAAGACCTGCACCAGTTTTTAAACGTCCTTTGCTCTATCCCTCGAAAATTTTTTTTTTTTGGAGCCGTTCTTGAGAAAATATTTTTTTATAAATTGCATCAAATTCAAGCAGAAATTACGCAAAAACTACCCTTTTTTCCAAACATTGAACATGACCTTTTTTAAAGATCTGATTATTTTAGAATAGATTTAATTTAAAACCAAAATACCCTCAATATTATATTGTTGCAATGCTTTTTTTGCAATTTTGTAAAATACAGAGTTTGCCGAAAATGGGACCAGTACCAACTTCTTTGCTGTCTTCAGAAACATCGAAGAAGAATTTTTTAAATTTTAGAGCCGTTTTTGAGGAAATAATTGTTTTAAAACTACCTATATTTCACACGAAATTACGCAAAACCTACTCATATTTTCGAAAAATTGTACATACACAACCGTATTTACAGATCTGTCATTGGATTACTGATTTCATTAAAGAAAACATCTTTATCTGCATTATTGTAATTGTAGAAAGACGCCGAAAAACATTGTTTACATTTGCAGTTTTCAAAAAATCAGGGATTTTCACGAAAATGACAGCGATGCGTCCATTACACAATGTAACGACAAAAAGAGATTTTAAGAAAATGATAATATTTCATGAAAAGTACTCCCAAAAACCACAATATCAGTTTGAAACTTGCAGGGAGTTGAGTTAGTTTATATAAAAGAAAAATATAAATTTTGCAAAAAATCGCGGGAAGTAGACGTTACGCTCTAGCGTTGATCAGAGACGGGATGAACGGACAAGTTCCCACAAAACATGAATCTGCCTACCAACACGTTAGAAGAAGTATTTTACTACAAATAAGGAACTTGGTTTAACCAATTTCGTTACCACTGCCCGGCAATAAAAGTTTTTCCGAAGTAGTTTTCTTTCGAGAAAGGAATTTATGGTGCACTATTACAATACTTTGTCGTACAAAGTAAGGTGAGAAAGCGACAGGAAAAGGGGGAAAATAAATTCTTGTTATGTATTTTTATTGCTTTCGCGTGAAATAAATATCCGCAATTCGCTTAAGATGAATCGGCATAAATTAGCACTTACTTGCCTTTTCTAATTCAATAAGAATACGTATTTTCTGTTGATTGCCCAAAAATATATCTCAATTTTGTAAAATCCGAGATCTTGTGCAAAGTAGTAAATTGTATACGTAGCATTACTTTTCATTTTTTACATTTTCTTTTATTTTTGTATTCATTTTATCACATATCCTTGTCAACAAAGTTTTTCATATTATATTTCTTAAAAACTTAAAATCAATTGAAATTTAATACAAAGTTTCCTCAATAAAACGCTAAAATGATTTAGTAACAATAGAATATACAAAATAGTTTTTTTCATAATATTCAACAATAAGATATAACACGATTAGAGATATAACACTGCGTAAATAAATGAATATTTTTCTGGCTCAGAACAAGCGCAGGGTAACTAGCCTCGCGAGGGGCATCTGTAGAACCTCAGTCCGACAGCCATTGAATAATTACACAAATGATCCATAACAAACTCGAGGTTTGTTTGCTCGAGCGAAATCACACTACAAATCAATGGTAATTGGTTCGAGTCCAGAGCCTGGCACGTGTGCTTGAACATTATGTTCTTGAAGTCACATTACAGCATTAATCATTCAATCATCAATAATAGAATGATAGAAGACAATAAGATGATAATACTTCTTCCGCTATCGTCACATCACATTCTGAGAAGTGCAAATGCACTTGATAGCACTAGCAAGAAACTGCCACCTCCCTTCAATATTGATAAGTCAAACAGTAAAATACTTTACAAACCATCACAACGAGTGCTAATGTTTAACATCTGTCAATTCTCTACAGAAATTTTGTTCTGTGTTTGAGAGAAAGTGTTGTAAGTTTACGTGCATGCACAACAACATCGATGATTACAATATGACAATTATATTACCGCATTTGAATTGACATAACTTGATTTAGAAAAAATAAAATTACCGAGATAATACACATCAGCTTCCAAAAATCATACGTACCGCACTGCATGCGAAGAATGTCGACTGCATACCGATTGACTGCGCCTATTCCAAAAATCGCGGGTTTTAATCTCGCTCTGACCATGAACGCTTGTCTTAATGTTTTCGAATATGTTGTATGGTGAGAGTTCTCGCGTTGTGCTGCCCCCATTTCGAAGAAGCCCAGATGTGTGTCAGTACTTTGCAAATGGCTCAGGTGCACCATGGGATATTTGAAGAAAACTGATTTGGTCTCCGGAAATTAAAATTAAAAAAAAATCTATGTTTTGAAAGGGTATGGGGTCGCTAATTCAGAACATGATCAATCGAAGAAATACAATTTTGCACAAAATATTAATATAGAATTACCATGAAATATCACATTTCTTCAAGCAATGTAGCAGACTGGTACTCTTTCAAGTTTGAAGACAGGTGTGCAACGGTTACTAGCGGACACAAGGTGAGATCACATTTCGGACCAGACCTTCAAAAAATAGAAATATATATTTGTGAATCATTTTAAAGATTCCTTTTTTTAACATTATTTCTAACAAATAATAGGATGGGTATTATTCAGACATGATGAACACTTGTGAAGATAAAATCAAAATTAAAACTAAAAACGACATAAGTATTCATGAGACCTAACAACACAAACGTAATGTTAGCTATAACCGTTCACAATGTTTGCATCCATTAAAATAGTTTTTAATTAAATAGTATACAAATAATAAAAATACTACTTATTACAAAAACCAGGAAGATTATTGTTTTATGAAATTACACATCGGCAAGGTGTTGAAGACTTTTCTACGTTGGGATTTCTGTTTCTTTTGCGTTTTCTAATTAAGAAACACCTCAATACCATCAAATGCTGAAAGTACTGCAAATGTCGTTTCCGCCGTCTCCAAGTTGTAAATGCGGTCTCTGCCATCGAGTGCGAGTTCTTGAAAGAGGTCAACAGCGCATTTCCTCCAACCACTCAATGAGAGTGCCACATAAAACGCTTAATTTCATATTCTCGCTCATCGTTTAAACCAAGTTTACTGAAATGAGAGAATTTTCTCCTTAAATATTACCTTCACAGAATTTATTAATTAAAGTTATGAATATTAAAATGCATTAAAAAGAAAATTTTCATTGAATATTCCAGTTATTATCGCTTGCACAGAAATTCCATTCATCAAATCAATCGGGCCTCTATTCAACGTGTATGTGTTATAGGAGTATTTAATTCATTCTGCTCCATAGAAGACTTCGTGTCATATTATTTTGATTTGTCTACCATATTTTTATACATTTCTAGCCATTATTGAGTCAAGTGTTTGACCAGTTTCAAAATTTTGCAATTATCATATATCTACGAATGAAAAGAATCGGAGTTCATAAAAAATTAAAACAAAATAAAACACATTAAACATTGAGCCGACTATCAAACCCGGATTTCCTGGTATACACCCAGCTGCTCTAACTACTTGAGCTATCGAGACAGTCAACAGTTGAAAGAGCTTTAAGTACCCTAACCATCACAGGGACTCTTCAAGAAGATAAGAAAATTTTAATAGAAATAATTAATAATAGCTGGACGTCTGCGAAAACTTCACATTTAACAAATAATTGTTTTAAAAGCTTCGTTCTAGATCCCCAACTTAAAACGGCCTAAACCGTGTGTTGGAGCACTAAAGGTACGGTATTGTGTCAGAGTAAGGAATTTGTAGTGTAATATTGCTTGGCGTTGAGATTGAACAGAAAATCAATGGTCCAGTTAATTGTACCTTGAAATAGATCTGTCTTTTCCATAAATATAATTTTACATATATTTCGTACTTGTGCACACAAAAGAACTAAATCTCCAAAAATGCAGTAGAAATATCAAAAAGGTCTCATTTAGTGGAAAGCTAGATAAGAAATATTTTGGGCGCCATCTGCCTCTGCCTATCTCCAGCTGTATTCCAAATGCACGCCTTATTTCCACCACATGTCCCCCACATATCATCCAAATATCCCTCATTTCCTCATCTGACACGAATGTCACTCAAAAAAAATCGATATAGGAAAATTCAACTTTTTAAATAAGATTATTGACTGCAACAATTTACTTGCAGAGCACCTAATGACCCTTTCCACGAGCACGCAAATCATTCTTTCTAGAGTTCTCAAGAGCGTAAATGTAGAATGAAGCGAAGTGCAGAGACGTCTTTCAGGAAAAGAAAAGACCAATGTAAGTGCGGCCATAGTGCGGTATTACCTTACCGTTAATGTATAAATTACAGGTAACTAAGAAACGATTGAATTGAAATGAATTGCATTGAAATGAAGTGAAGTGAAGGCATGGAGTAGAGATGAGGCACTTTTTTTTATTTGTTTTTGTATATTTGTAATTTATAGAACCTTTTTTAAATATTTGTATATTTCATATTTTTGTATATATTTTTTTAAAATATTTGCTTGTATTCGCGTATCCGAGATATGCGCGATTATAATGCGTGTTGCAGTTATCTATTTTGTATGTCGTGAACTGCAAACTTTTATTCGTTTTTTATTTAAATTTGAGCAATGACTGGTGAGTGATTCCATAAGAAGTAGCACACTTCCAAAGTTTTAACAATAGTCATGTATCCTTAAAGTATCATACACAGGAGTCTCAAATTAAATGTTACAAACTTCTAGGGCTTGTAGAAGGGTTGAAAATGATATCTTTTTAGCCAATTAATATAGAGTGGAAATGCATACAAAAGGGTTATGTATATATATACATGTGGAATTTGTCACTGATTTGTAGGCAGTCCCGTATGCATATTTGTTCGGCAAGTCTCATTCTGACTCAGTCAAAGAGATTTATTGTTACTTTCGAACATTTCTGCGTACGTGATTGCCTAAAAATGAGGAGGATATGCCACATGTAAGCATGCAAATAACTCCCTTACATGCAATTTCCCACTACAAGTTCATCTGCAGAAAATTTTCGATCTCTGTACATGAAGTTTGTAACATTTGTTCTGCGTCACCTGTACAGAAAGGATTAGTAGACATGTACTAAATTCGAATTGTTCATTTAACATACACAACAAAAAACTTGTGGTGCCCACAGCCTGAGCGAGGACGACACGGGCGGCGAACGGGGCCGGGACGGGTGGCGGCGGCGGCGGCGACGAGAGCGCTCGCGCTCGTCGGACGACAACGACGAGGAGGACGACGACGTCGACGAAGACGACGACGACGACGACGAGGACGGCAGCTCGGCGGAGGAGGCGGCCGACGGCGGCGGGGAGCGGGAGCG